TCCTACAACTTATTTTTTAAATCTATATTTCTACTTAGTCAATAATATATTATCCATATTAATATTATTCCAAAATGTGTTTACAAACGTGTAGGATAATCGTCATTTAAAATTATTTAATAGCTCAATTTACACTGCAATTTCTTTCGGGCGTGGTGGAATGTGATAGAACGAATGTATATGGCAATTTCTGCGAGTTTTTATTTTTCGTTTGTAGAAGAAGTAGCCATTAATTATGGCCGCTTTAAATTTATTGCGTATCCCAAACGGCATTCCGTTGATCACTCAATTTGCAACGTTTAAAAAAGCCAACAACAATTACGTTGTCGTTGAAAAGAACTCGCGCTTGAACGTCATACATATGAACGCACGGCTTTTTTTTGTTTATGATCTTGTTTTTGTGCGCATCGGCTTCTACGCGGGCTGAATAATGCAATTGTTTTATGCGCTGCGAACTGCATTCGGTTCTGCAATGACGCCAAATGTTGAAGGATCTATTGTGCGTCTACTGCAAAAATTAACTGCAGGTGTCATTCACAACTCATACAGTACCTACCTCAATTTTAACGTCGCTACGTTTCACTTTTCTGAAGGGGATGAAATATTATTAGTGCTAAATATGAACACACTTGGGTAATAATGATATTGTGACATAATTGTAATTGTTCAAAGTCCAGAAAAAGATGAGATAGTTATAGACNTGCAATTAGATTTTAATAATTTGTTTTTAAAAGAGCAACATTCAAATACACAAGGAATGTTAATTATATGTATCTATATTGCACTTATATGTGGTACCTAACACAACTGACTTTCTTTTCAATGTAGATTAAAAGTCTATTTTAAATCGATCTAATTTCGTGTTTGGGTTCTTCGCTATAAAACTTTAAACGCGAAAATAAATAATAAAATAAACTTTTACTGACATTGGTATTGTTTATGTACAAAGTTACATACGAACACTAACAACGAATTTAAAGGTCGGCGAAGCAGTACAGGTAAACATATATGCGCGTCGTGTTTACATTTAGATTTCTAATTTCAATTGTCCTGTTCAATGTCATTTCTGTAGTAAGCAAAGTTATTTTGTGGATTATGAAACTTTTGAAAAGTTCAATGGGTATGTAAAGCTATACCCTCTCAATAAAATTAGCATATTTTTTATTTCGTTAATTAAATATGTACCTACCATAGAACCCCGCTCGTTATGTTGATACAATTACTCGAAAATATGTAGATAACTGGATAAGTGACAAATAAGCGCCCCTCAACTGAACACTTTTTATTAAATTTTTTCTTTGTTTAGCATAAAGAATATACTTTCTTATTCCCGCCATGTTTTTGCGACTAAATACATGCATATCTTAAATGCTTCTGTAGTAACATACAAATAGGGTAAAGGTTAAGGGCATCATTATACTTGCAGCGAAATGAAGAATAATATTATGAACTATTTCTTTTGTTCAATTTCAGGCCTCAGCCGCCGTGTAGCTCCTCCCATCACGCTGCCCGTCACCCTGGAGGACCCGGCCGCGACCTGGAAGGGACCGCCCGCTGGTTCGGATTCGCAACCTTTCGTTCCGACCTCGGCTAACTCGTTTTCAGGGCCGCCGGCGGGTTTCCAGGGGCAGTCGCCCTTTCAGGGCCCGCCGGCGGGTGCAGGTTCGCCCGCGGGTGCGCCTCAATATCAACAAGGTGGACCGCCCCCGCCTCCCGGATCTACCACTCCCCAGTACACTGCGTCGCCTGCACCGTCAGGATCTTCAACACCTGGGCCACCAGCACCCAATGCCTCCGGGCCGGGAGGAGGAGGTAGTACGGGAGGGTTCGGACCCGCGAATAGCGGTGGCGGACCGCCGTATAATGGACCTGGCCCAGGGCCGTTCGGGTCACCTTCCGGGCATCAGGGGGGTGGTGGTCCCCCGGGTGGACCTTTCGGCCGACCAGGTTCATCTGGGCCGCCGTTTGTGCCGGGTGGCGGTAACCACCCTCATTTTCCATCGCCCGGTCATACGTTCGGTCCCGCCGCCGGTTTTGGTATGCCGCCCGGATCGCCTTTCGGCCCAGGACCGGGTCACCCGATGACCGGACCAATGGGACCGACGCATGGAATGATGCCTGGCCAAATGCCCGGACCCAATCCTGTAGATAGGCTAGAACAAGGGTGAGTCATTTTCATTCTCGTAGAACACATTTATTTTAAATCGAAATACCATATATGTGTTACTTGTGCATTATTTCTGTATCAAATATTTATTCCTGATTATAAAGATTATGAAGTAGGTACAATGTTAGAATTTTATTATTAGTCGCATTTATTAATATTGTGTATGTGCACTATCAGGTCGTGCATCCAACAGTCTTTTAATTTTATAATTCACAAAAACTTCTAACATCGAAGTATTTACTTATATTTGGATTATGATAACTTCTAGGATTATAATAATTTATTTTATA